ACAAGTAACTTGTTTATATGTGTACATCAATTGCATGTTCAGAATTCTATCAAAGGTTTGTGCGAGCTTCCTGGAATACCTGAGACATTTTAATTGAATAGTCCCCCAGGTTCTTGTTCTTAGAGTGCTCAAAACTTGGTGATTCCACCTTTTTTGACATAGGATGACCAAGCAATGTGCTGAGCTGTTGTTCAGTTCATTAAATCTTTAATTTTGCTATTTTCTCTTTGCCATCACCCTCATAGCTTCCTTACAAATTCTGATTGTAATCCGGAATGTTGATACTCCTCTATATTCACACTGCTTCACAATCCCTATAACACTGATACTTCAACAAGTGTTGTTGAAGTATCAATCTATTTCAAGCCCTTCTATACGATCAATAGATCACCAGCTCCTCTATAGACTAAGGTACTGCAAGCTCCAACCTAGAGCACTAAGCATAGTTTACACAGAACCAAAGCACAACAGACTTAATGTTTGCACTCACCGTTGTCTCTGTTGTCAATATTGTGCAGTATGATTGGCAGAAATGATGAAGAAAACATGTATGCTGGTATTGTTCCATTTTGAATGATGCTTGAAAAAGACTTGGTAGCTTCAAGCTGAACATGGAGGGGAGCAATGTACAGGTACTCCTGCAAAAGTATGGTAAACCCTTTACACCTTAACATCAGTATGAAGATTCTCCATACTGTCCTTTTACCTTTTCTTGTGGTACTGCTAAGGAGAAACTTTTTAATGATCACAAGCTTCATCAGTTGACTTGTGACCTTAATGTTTCATTTAGTTTTGGATTCCAGTCACTCTTGGGGGTGAAAGGATTGGTCTGTTTCCTCAATTTGCTACAGATTTTGTGGTTGTAACAGGTCAAATGGACAACAAAATAGTATGAAAAATATAGGTCACCATCCTTATTTCTGTAGTACAACACATATGAATATGTTTGATTTTTGCAAATCCAATTCTGAAAAAAATTGGGCTCTGTTTTTCAAATTTATATCTCTGATATCCTAGTCTCTTCAATATAAGGTTTTTTTTCACCACATAAATGATCATGTGACTCACCCTAAGAACTGGTACCACTCTTCTGTTAACATCAGCACTGTTCTTCTCTAGAAGTTTGGGTAAGTTATTAATGACACTGAGCTTTTGAATTTCCACTCCAGAACTGTAAATAATAATAATGTTGTTTTTATTAGCAAGATTACTTCACCTAACCATAGTGAGCTGGATAGCCTTCCTTTTTAGTTTTGTTATTATGCATTATGTAACACAGTAACAATTACAATTGATAATATTGTACTCTCAACAAGTGTTGTTAAGTCAATTGATTTTGGAAAATTTATAGGAGAACATGAGGTGTAAACTGAATTTCATATTATTGGCAGATTTACCTGAATGTTAAATGATTGTATTTTTTTTAAAATTCTGATAGACCAGTTTGTGTATGACAAGATTCTAATTGACTAACATCCATATTCAATATCAGGGAATTTCCTGTAATCATTGTAGTTTTCCATGCTACGCACAATGCATGCATGTGGAGTAGCATGACAAGGCAATTTTGTGAACTAATTAAATATGTGTAATAACAACCGAAAAACACGTCAACTGTGTGTGTAATCTTCAGGGCCTTTATAGATCCCTCAAGCCGACAAATCAACAAAGCACATGCATCTAATTATAAAACCACGCTTCAAGGAACAAAGAGCTGATAAATGAGGAGAGATACGGGGTCAAGTTACGAACAATGATAGAACTTCCTGCTTAGGACGTCTGTGTAGTATTTATTCATATTTTCCACGGGAGATCATGAAAATTTCAACACTTATTGATTGTATAAGAGGCAATTTTAACAGGAACCACCAAATGACACAATAACACATTCAAGCTTTTGTGCAAAGATTCACCTGGTCCAAAATAACAACAAATTCAAAAACATGCCCAGATATTGGGTTAGATAAAATTCTATCCTGGATTGTCGTGATCATCCAGAGATAGAGGCTTTATAAAAATATTAATAGGATTCATGTGAGAAGATTTAAAAGTTTTCTTGATTAAATACATGCATGAAAAGTTTATTTTAATTCAAAAGCAAGTTTTAATGACCACGAGAGACAACACAAACAGTCCATCAGCAGATCTACTATATTGATACCACACGCAAGTGACAAAATATAAATTACTAGTGTACAATATTTGCTAGAAGTCACAATATCTAGGACAGGCAGAAGAGTAGACTTTGCAAAACATTGTTTCCTTTCCTTTAGATGAAATTTCAAGATATTTGGTGCAATTCACATTTCCATCAGCTTCCAAAAAGTCATCTGCTACACGTGAAAAACACATTTTGACCTGACCTCTTTCAAATTTTACTTCATCTAGTTTCGATTACGCCACATATTTTTCAAGGACGTTGCTGAATTCTTAACAGCACAAATCCACACTTCTCCCTTGTCCAAGTATTTAAAAAGTTCAGATTATAAGTTACTCTACGAAACTAATGGACTTTAAAATGCAGTAAACGTAAGCGCGACAAAGACCATAGAGAACTGAAATGTTCATTTGAATCGCAACATGCAAACAGTCAAATAGATTTGCCTCTTCAAAAGTCACACAAACTTTTCAGACATGTTTGCTGACGGCTAATACTAGCCTTTCTTAGTGTACACACACCCTCAGACAAAACGTACACCGCAGTCTAAATCCATTATTAATTTCCAAGCTATTTAATGGTTTGTGAGCTTTATGGTCCACTTGTGATTCATCGAAAATAAAGTTAATAATACCTGCCATCTCACCGCTCGTTTGAAATCACATTAGCGCACATTGGCCTTTGCCAACGCCACGTTTTTGTGCTCTGACGGTAGCACTTGAAAAAGTAACTAAATTAAGCTCAGCTTTCGAATTCAAGGAAGGCATTAATCCATCTAAAAGAAACCATGATTCAACAAACAAAATAAAAATTGCCATTGTTATAATTAAACCAAGCGAAATGAGCAAACATGCTTATTAGACGTGACGGAAACGAGTGAAATCTACACATAATTCCGTGATCAATTTCACGAACGGTTCGAGATGTTCTTGAACGCAGAATGTTCAGAACTTCAGGCATTTTTGAGCGATGATTAATTTCCAAATTATTGAGCGTTAAGTATATCATTTGAGGTTTCTATTCAGCTCACCTTAATAGTAACACGGCCCGCTCAATGTCATCAAGACTCTCGTCAACAGTCAGTCTTTCGATTTCTTCTTGAGACTGCGGTAAAATGAGAACATTTTCCAAGATCGTGAGTGATAATTGAACAGTACGAGCCTATATCATATCTCTCTGTTCAAAAATAAATGCAATATTGACCTTGAGTCCTCGTATGGAACGCTCGGAGCGTAGCTCTTCTACGTCTTCCTCTCCCAGGGGCCCACCAACGAACGATCCCAGGCTCGACATATCAGGACTGATAGCGAAGGCAGTTTGTCCAGTTCATGCTGGAGTGCCTCGCAACTCCACAAAATAAGCCTCTATGTCTCGTTGACAATCATTTTCGAGTACAAAAATCCTCTAAATTGCTCAGTTAATCCATCTGTTTTCAGAAATCATTGACGGATCTTTGGAGTAAACTTATCACATTTGTAGTGCAACTCCCGTGGTCCCACACGGGCGCATCTTATGCGGTGTTCCTAGCAACGATCATTCATCGATTTCCGACCCAGAATAAATATTCTATTTTACAGTCAGTTTTACTCAAAAAATACATCCAGTATGGATTTTAAAGCTAATATATTTGTTTTAAGGAAGTATTCATGTATCGAGAGAATTTTAGCCTGCAAACGGAGATTTGAAAAGTAAGAGTCTGGGAATAATTATTCGATAAATGATCGATTATCATTAGTCAGCGGTTCTTCCAACATGGCCGCTAGGATTGCGCAAAATTGTAGACTTTTGAAATTTCGTTCTTTGGCAAACTTGAGAGTTAGAAATTTCTCTAAGGTAAGTATAGAGACAATGAAGGACTGTCTTCGGCGTCAGCCAAATGATGTATTGATAATCCTGAATAGTTTATCCGCGATTTGATCCGAGTAGGGAAGCCCTGGAGATGAATATTGCTCAATAAACAGATCGAACTTTTCTTCAAAAGAGCAATTTATTGAATTAAAATTGTTCCTCTAAATAATCCAATTTTTTTAGTTGACTCACCTTGCATGAATTTAGGAAAAACATCCACTTTATAACCAAAACATTGAAGTGAACGGACAATTAAATCAGGAGCCAATTTTAGAGTAAAATGGAGCATTACAATCAAAATTAGGGGATGTTATTTTTTGCAACTATACATTGCAGCATTGAGTGATTCTTTGATTCTTACTTAACTCCAACATGCATGTAATCTTCCACTGAATGTCCCATGCCAGGACAATTCAGGTTGGAGAGGAGGTGGGGGGAGGGGGGAGGGGTAGGGTAGGGAGATAATTCTTATTCCTGGCTACACAGTGTGAATGCACTAAGGATACACTTTTTATGTTCTGTATTGGATTTCAGTCCATTACAGGGTTCTCCTAGTATTTTTTAAGATTTTTCCAATAATTTGCACCCATTTATACTCTGCTCTTGGATAGAGGGGGATGTTGAGAAAGTAAAATGACTTAGCCCTTAAATTAGGTCATGTTGAAAACCATAATGTGAATGATTGAGTTTGTAATGTTAATTGTCTACCCTAGTGAGTTTCTAAAGCTGATGTTTCAAGTGTTGACCCTTCATCAGCACTACAGTTTTTCAGAAACTCACCCCCTTTATTCCCTTTTTCTTTTATTACTGTGACAACTCAACTCTGGCCATTTGCTCTGACGAAGGCTAAATCTTTAGAAACTCTGTTGATTAAACCAAATTATCTTGTAATACCTATCACTGATGCAATACCACAGCTCAGCACTCCAAGGTGTGACCATTTTGGTCACCATGGCAGGTAGAAAATATGTTTTACAACTAAAATTTTGGCACAAATCACCAATCAACAACCAACAGATTTGAAAAGGAAGAAATTTGAAAAATCTGTTAATGTTTGGTCAAATTATCAAATGTACAATTGCCATCTTCAGAAAATTTTTTTTTGTGACCATATTGTTTTCTAAGGTGGCCATTCACCTAAAGGCGACTTTTTGAAAAAGGGAACTTGGAGCCCTCCAACTTCTTAAGAAACCTACCCCCTTTGTTCATGACATGAATGCATTTTCTACATCATTGTGATCTCATGGAAGGTAAAGGGATGACCAACAAACAATTTTTGGGTTTTATAATCAATTTACTTATTAAATTATCCTTGAAATAAATATAACACAAATTTTATAGCTTTGTCATAATTTTTTTTTTTTAAGGAGTTACGCCATGGCTTTATTGGAATGGTTGGCAAGTAAGCCTGAAATAAACTTTTTTTCCAGTTTTATTTATACAGCTCTAAAACATTATTTTATTGAAGCTCATTACCAAATTTTTTTTCTTTGCTGGTAGCACTCCTCTGATAAGATTTAACAAGCTCAGTGAGAAAACAGGTGAGCATTAAAATAAATTATATAATTTGTCTGCTTAATTTCTTTTCAGAAAAATGGATGCTCATCTCAAGGATTGTTGTTGTAAACTCTGGGATGGGAGGGGAGGGGGAGCGGAGATGTTGCATGGTGTCCAATATTTGAGAAAAAAAATTGTGTAGAAAAAGTGCAGTGGGAAAGTTTGGGATGTTTGTTGCATCTTTCCTAAGAAAAAGTAGAATACTGGGTACAGGAAGGTTAGCATCTCTGTAGTTTGCCATTACTCTTATTTCCAATGCTTTTTAACCTTACTCACCCTAACTTAATTATGCATATTCCCCACACTGTCCTCTGTACTTTTCCTGAGGTGCTGACAAGGAGAATTTGTGTAACAATCAAGAGCTTTTTCAGTTGGTGGTTGTTTTCTTTATTCTTGCAACCTCCATGTTTGTTCCAGTGCTGATTTTATAAGGAGAAATTAGATGCTAGTCAGTCTTGGTGCCAAAGGGTTTTTCTGATTTGTTGTTCAGGATGTGATATCACTGCTAAAGCTGAACAACTTAACCCCGGTGGCTCTGTGAAAGATC